AATGATTATTCTTCAATTTCAGGCCTAGCTTGTCTTCACTAGTCTTTTAATATGTTTGTTCTGAAAAGTGTATGATTCTTTGTTGAATTAGGCCTAAGTAAATGAGAATGAGCAAATTTTCAAATTTTCGCTTTCAAACGTTACTCGTTCATCTGACGGGGGAGTTTTATGCAGATGGGAGTCTAGTAGCTTTCTTTTCATAGAGCTAATCTCCTTAATATTGTATGCAAAATATTTAAACAAACACGTTGGCTAATATTGTGTTATAATAAAATAATACAATAAATAAAAAAAATAGGTTGTCATGAAATAAAAATGTTATGGAAATTTATTTTTTACAAAGACTCAACACAAAGAAAAAAAAAAAAAAACTTAGCCTAGGCTAATGACCACAAAAGTTGCAAAAGACACCACAGCTCCAAAAAATAAATAAATATGTTCTCACCACAGATAACAATTTGAAGCCTAAAAACAAAAAGTTGTTAGGCTCGAAATGTCATCTGTGGTTAGAACATAAATTAGCCTAATATGTTTAGAGCTGTGGTGTGCCAGCTTTTCTCCTTTTTTATGGAAATGTATTTTTCAAAATCATGTTATAAATCCTATTGTGAACGTCCAAGCATTTTTTTTTTTTTTTTTTTTTTTTTAATTTTACCCATCAGAATGTCATAACTTGATCTTCTGGTGAAAACAACAGACCTTTCTATGGTGAAGTATGACAGACTTCTTCAATCATGCTTAAACCCAAACTCAGGTTCATCTGTCTCCATTTTGAGTGCAACGCCAACATCTCAAAATCCAAACAATAACCAGTGGATAGAACCAAGTCACCGCCCTGCATTTTGTATTTTTTTCAATAAGCCGTTACCAGAGTTGCTAATTCCACTTAAAACACGACTTTAGGCTTCTTTTTTGGTAAGTCACACTTCTTTGGGCTTATTTTTAAAAAAAAATATGGTTCAGGAAAATCTGACAAGTAACTTAATTTCTTTAAATTTATATTTGCTGTTTTCTTTGATAGATTGATGGACACTGTCTGCTCATCAGTGCTAGCGTAATTCGTCCCCCCACATCCTGTCCCCTGCTCACCCTCATTGGATAAAAACACGTTCAGCATTAGTAGACATGAATGTACATTTTCACAAACAATTCCACCAAAAGAGATGTACAGAGATGGAGATGAAACCTGGAAGATAATGGATGGTGCAGGGGAGGAGATTATCATACAGGGTATAATAAAAATAATCATTACAGGGTAATAAAAAGTATACTAATACTAACAGATATGGTTTTAATTTTGCTATATCATTTTCCATCTCCAAATCCATTCTCCTCAGAGGTGATCGGACGATAGTGCATGCTTTCCCACTTTGTTGCAATGTGATGATTTTTGTAAAATAACTTCTGTTTTTTGCAAACTCTAATTGCTTTCAGCAGGCTCATTCATTTATCATAATAATATAATATTGGGCTTGTTTTGGCCTTGTTTTTTTTAAGGGTTAGTTCAGCCCAAAGTGAAAATTCTGTTAGTAATTACTCACCCTCATGTTGTTCCAACCCAGTAAGACTTTCGTTCATCTTCGGAACACAAATTAAGATATTTTTGATTAAACCTGAGAGCTGGATCACTCCTCCATAGGCTTCTTAAAGGGATAGTTCACCCAAAAATGAAAATGAAGTCATTAATTACTCACCATGCTGTACCAACCCCGTAAGACCTTTTTTCGTGTTTAGAACACAAATGAAGATATTTTTGATTAAATTTGAGAGGTGGATCACTGCTACATAGGCTCCTAAGGAATCGAAACTTGCCGGCCCAGAAAGCCATCGAAGAAAATGTTTAAATATTCCATGTGACTACAGTGGCTCGACTATAATTTTTTCAAGCGACGAGAATACTTTTTGTGCGGAAATGAAACAAAAATGACGACTTTATTCAACTATTCCTTTTCTTCCTTCTGGGCCTGAGACGAGAGTTCAAGAGATTTCCACGACGCATGCGCAAGAACTGCACTCTTATTCTACTAATTCTTGCGCAGTTCTCGCGCATGCGTCGTGGAAATCTCTTGAACTCTCGTCTCAGGCCCAGAAGGAAGAAAAGGAATAGTTGAAAAAAAGTCGTTATTTTTGTTTTTATTTCTGCACAAAAAGTATTCTCGTTGCTTGATAAACTTATAGAGCCACTGTAGTCACATGGAATATAACTTTTCTGGGCCGGCAAGTTTCAATCCCTTAGAAGCCTATGGAGGTAGTTGTCCAACTCTCAAATTTAATAAAAAATATCTTAATCTTAGTGTTCAGAAGATAAACGAAAGTCTTTAAAAAATTATATTTATATTTGGCTTCTCAGGCTTTTTGATTGAGGTTGATATACTGTAATTTATTTTAGTAGGCTGTACAATAAATGCCTGTCTACACTAAGGACAATAATTATATATTTTATTTTATTCTTTGAGAATAGGAAAGTCCACACCACAACTATGATGATAATGACACAGAAAAACATTATAATTGGAATCACTTTCAGAATGATTGTGATTGATTTTACAGCTATTGAATGATAAAAAAAAAATAATAAAAAAAAACAACAGCAAAAAAACATTGACAGTCAATCAGGCATTATGTCAAGTGGCAAAAGCAGCTTCCAGACATTGATATTGGCAGATATTGATCAGACTGATGTTTTGGTCTTATAGGTCAAGTAGTTCCCTCACCCTGACACAAATAAACAAACTAATAAGGATTAGGAACAATATTTAAATAAAAATGCATCCTCATGTTTCCTGTCTCCTCAGGTGCTGTCGTTCATCATCTTTGTTTGCTTTGCTGCTTCAACAGCAGCGGCCTTCGTCACCGCTCCCTTCATTGAGTTCTTGGCGGCCCTCTTCCTGCTGTTTGCTTATTCTACAAAGTTCAATGAGAGATTTAAGGGCTTTCACTGGCCCCTCATGGTAAGTTTACTGACCTACAAAATGACTGTACTGGATCAAATTATACAACCAAAATTCCTCCTTTCCAAATCTCTATGTCTGTTGTTTCACCAAGGACTTTCTGCGCTGTGTCAGTGCCTCCATTATCTTTTTCATCATCTCTATAATGTCTGTGTCCAAATATCCGGATGGAGCCTCAAAGGCTGCTGGGGTAAGCTCACATCAATCCAGTCAAATTGTCTTTATCGGCACCATCAGTGACCACATTGTTTATCTACTGTTTATAGTTGCTACATGTGACTCAGTTGTGTTATGTTTAGACTTGTCTCATGCGTCTTTCTCTTTCACTTCTTAGGTCTTCGGCTTTGTTGCCACAATAATCTTCGCCCTGGACTTTTATTTCATCTTTAATGAACTGGCCAATTTCCTCAAGGAAGGTGACTCCAGTGAGGAACCACCAAACACACGAGGTATTTATACAGAGCTCCTATTTTATACTACCTTTCAAACATTTGGGATCAATAGTAAGAAGCTGAGCGTAAGAAACAGCTTTTTTAAAAATAATAATAATAATAATTTAAAAAAACAGTAAAAAAGAAATGATTACCTAAAGTTGTCTTTTCTCTGCTGAAGTCTCAGTCACAGGAAAGATTGCTTGCATAAATCTTTCCACATCGTAATAAAGCATTAAGACAATTAGTGAGACCAGTTGCAGGAAGTGGAAGGGTTTCTTATCAAACATGGTTTCATAACTTTATAAATAATCATCCACAGTGTAGCCTTTACTCTAGCTATGTGACTAGGCAGGCTGAACTCCTTCAGTATCATATATGAATTAATCCTTGCTACAAGCAATCTTTGCATTAAACTTACAGTCCAGTTTTTTTTTTTCACTGGGAATTCCCCATCTATTTTTTTTTCTTTTTCCTGTTGTTATTCAGAGGTTGTCCCTCATTTCTCTTCCAAAATAACATATTCTTCTTCCTCACAGATGATGACTCAGACTCTGACTCTGACTAAAGCTGTGTTTGTGTGCAAAATCCTGGCGTTTGTGACCACTACAGTGCCTGACAATAACCAAAACATCTCTTATCTCTTTGATATAACTTTTTTATTGTTTTATTGTTCTGAAATTCTTTACATTTTTTTTTTTTACTTTTTGTGACTAGATTGAAACAACGTATTTCAAATGTTACATCACAGAATAGAATCTTTATCTCTGGTTTCACAGACAAGGCTGAAGCCTAGTCCCAAACTAAAATGCATGTTTGAGCGGTTTTAACTGAAAGCAATTTGCAATGACATATATTGAAATATGTCAGTGTCATTTGTTTGTCTTAATATGCATGTTTTTTTTTTCCTAAGGCACGTTTATAAAAGCTACTTAAATATTCTAATTGGACTAATGCGTGATTTTGGCTTAATCTAATCCTTGTATGTGAAACCGGTGCTTTAGAGTTTTGTATAGTCTTTGTACAGTACTGTATACATCTATACAATCGAAGTCCCTCTCATTTGATTTCCCAAAAACTGTGAATTATTTCAGTGAAATAGTTTCACATCAATCAAGCTTATTGACTTTTTGGAAGAAAGGGCAGTATTGTACCATTTATCATGTTTATATACTGCCTCCAACAGCTTTCAGTTTTTACAGTATGTACGAGCCTTTTTTTATTTCTTTATTTGGGAGCTGTGTGTGTTTACTAATTTTAACTATTTTGGGAGAATATTTTCTCAAAATATGTTGTTTTAAATTGTATTGTTTTTTTTAAACAATTATCCATGACATGGTGATGAAGCCCTGGATTTGGAATAATAATGATTTTTAGCAATATAATAAGTTTACATCATACATGAAATTGGCAGGTGGTTGGCTGGCCACAGTCACCTGTCTCATTTCCACACGTCTACACATTGGTATTAGTCCTGCCAAAGCACTGCAAAAAAGGCAAGATTTGTCTCCTCGTGCTCACTTAGCAATGTACTTTTCTTACAGTGGCACTGCTCGGCTATTGAAACTGTATTATAAACGTGAGCTGCTTCTGCAGTGTATGGGAGTGTCTCCTGGTTTACTATAGTATTTTAAAGCATGTTGCATGCATCCACATTCCACCTTCTAGTGTTTCTGTGAAGAGTGGATGCTTTAATAACATGCACTGTCAGATTATCACACCAATAAATATTTTTTGTGCAATTTTTGTAGTATTGTTTGTTTTTTGAGCAAATAATTTTGCCAATCAGTTTGAATGTTAGAAGGAAAATGTGATCTAGAGTTTGTTAGTGGTAAAATGCAACTACAGCTCGCTGCATCCTGCGGTGGATATCCAACCCGGCCCACATCCAAGTGTGACGTCAAAAGCCACGCCCATCCACGTGTGACGTCAGAATGAGACTTAAACCTGAGTGCAAAAATGGAGGCTCTAGACCCTTCCAGAGCTGAGATATCGAAACTCAAAATTTCGACCCGAAAAAAAAACGACAGTGATACGCCTTTCGTTTTTTTTTTTTTTCGGGCGAAAAATAAAGTTTCTCCAATCTTCTCAAAACTCTGGATTCTAATAGAGGGCCATGAGACCTAAACCTGAGTGCAAAAATGGAGGCTCTAGACCCTTCCAGAGCTGAGATATTGAAACTCAAAATTTCAACTACAGCTCGCTGCATCCTGCGGTGGATATCCAACCCGGCCCACATCCAAGTGTGACGTCAGAAGCCACGCCCATCCACGTGTGACGTCAGAAGCCACGCCCATCCATGTGTGACGTCGGAAGCCTCGCCCATGTCCAAAGACGGCACGTGACTCAATTTGATGTGATTCGTGACGTGTACACATGCTCAAAATGCCGCTGCTTCCTGTCGGAATATGTTTATGGTTGTTATCATAGTAGTTATTGATTTATAATAAAGATGAGGTTATTTGTGTAGAGATGTGGCACTACAGATTATTGGTGCAGTTAAATTGTGACGCTTTGGCAGGCTTGGAATCGTCTAAATCACAAGCACTCCCTTAACAGCTGTATTAGACAATACGTTTGCATTGCTCACTGGTTTTGTAAGTTAATGACAAGTAAACAATGTACCTTAAAACGATATTTTTGTATTTCTCTTGTATTTCTGTTACAAATGGTAATCAATAATCATGGTTTTGCTATAATAAACATATAAGGGAGCATCTATACTTAAACTAAAATGAGTTTTTATCTCTTTCTTAATTATATGGGATCCAAACTGCACTTATAGTTATCCCTTCTAAAAAATAATTAAAAAAAACTTTTTTAAACATTTCTTTCTATGTGGTTATAGAAATATTGCATTTTTACAAATTAAGAATTCACCTGTTAATGCCTGTTATAGCAAATTACTTTGAAATGGCAGAATGGAATTTATGTAAACCTTAAATCATATACTAATATATAATCTACTCATTAGTCATTATAAGCAAAGTGAGATATTTCATGCCTTTATGTGTTATAAATTTGATGATTACGGCATATAGCTATGTTGAATTACCGAAATAAATGAACTTTTGCACAATATTCTAATACATAAAAAAACAGTTAATCTCTCGCTTCCTCTTCTGTACAGGTTTTATGAGTTTAACATATCAAAATATCATCATAGTTCAAAATATCTTGTTCACAAATGATTTTTTTAATGTAATATTTTGTGTTAATACATCAAGTTTACACATATGGTTAAAAAATGACCCATTTATGCAAGTGTGATAACTTTTTGTTAAAATAACCAATGTCAGTTGTTCAGAGCAAATCCCTGCACAATCGGAGGCTGCAGCTTTAGGACCCCGGTTACAGGACCCTTGTTTTAGTTTGTACGTACATAGTTCGAAAGACATTTAATCTCAGGAGTATTTTTATAAAATGTGTTTTTTTATTCAAAATGCATCAGAGACATTTACAAAAATGTAAATTTATACAAAACAAATTAAAAATGTATATCAATCTTATTCAACTGAAAAGTGGTGTGAGCCCTAGTTTCTTGAATTATGCTGTATATTGATTAACCTACTCAAGTTTAACTAATTTGCTCATTATCAGATAAAATAACGATGGAATCAGCACATGCAGTCACTAAATGATATGGCCAGAATATCAGAAGGCAAAACTCGAGAAATCAAGTTTCTCCAATCTTCTCAAAACTCTGGATTATGATAGAGGGCCGCGAGACTTTGACCTGAGCGCAAAAATGGAGGCTCTAGACCCTTCCAGAGCTGAGATATCGAAACTCAAAATTTCGACCCGAAAAAAAAACGACAGTGTTACCCCTTACGTTTTTTTCAGTTTTCGGGCGAAAAATCAAGTTTCTCCAATCTTCTCAAAACTCTGGATTATGATAGAGGGCCGCGAGACTTTGACCTGAGCGCAAAAATGGAGGCTCTAGACCCTTCCAGAGCTGAGATATCGAAACTCAAAATTTCGACCCGAAAAAAAAACGACAGTGTTACCCCTTACGTTTTTTTCAGTTTTCGGGCGAAAAATCAAGTTTCTCCAATCTTCTCAAAACTCTGGATTATGATAGAGGGCCGCGAGACTTTGACCTGAGCGCAAAAATGGAGGCTCTAGACCCTTCCAGAGCTGAGATATCGAAACTCAAAATTTCGACCCGAAAAAAAAACGACAGTGTTACCCCTTACGTTTTTTTCAGTTTTCGGGCGAAAAATCAAGTTTCTCCAATCTTCTCAAAACTCTGGATTATGATAGAGGGCCGCGAGACTTTGACCTGAGCGCAAAAATGGAGGCTCTAGACCCTTCCAGAGCTGAGATATCGAAACTCAAAATTTCGACCCGAAAAAAAAACGACAGTGTTACCCCTTACGTTTTTTTCAGTTTTCGGGCGAAAAATCAAGTTTCTCCAATCTTCTCAAAACTCTGGATTATGATAGAGGGCCGCGAGACTTTGACCTGAGCGCAAAAATGGAGGCTCTAGACCCTTCCAGAGCTGAGATATCGAAACTCAAAATTTCGACCCGAAAAAAAAACGACAGTGTTACCCCTTACGTTTTTTTCAGTTTTCGGGCGAAAAATCAAGTTTCTCCAATCTTCTCAAAACTCTGGATTATGATAGAGGGCCGCGAGACTTTGACCTGAGTGCAAAAATGGAGGCTCTAGACCCTTCCAGAGCTGAGATATCGAAACTCAAAATTTCGACCCGAAAAAAAAACGACAGTGTTACCCCTTACGTTTTTTTCAGTTTTCGGGCGAAAAATCAAGTTTCTCCAATCTTCTCAAAACTCTGGATTATGATAGAGGGCCGCGAGACTTTGACCTGAGCGCAAAAATGGAGGCTCTAGACCCTTCCAGAGCTGAGATATCGAAACTCAAAATTTCGACCCGAAAAAAAAACGACAGTGTTACCCCTTACGTTTTTTTCAGTTTTCGGGCGAAAAATCAAGTTTCTCCAATCTTCTCAAAACTCTGGATTATGATAGAGGGCCGCGAGACTTTGACCTGAGCGCAAAAATGGAGGCTCTAGACCCTTCCAGAGCTGAGATATCGAAACTCAAAATTTCGACCCGAAAAAAAAACGACAGTGTTACCCCTTACGTTTTTTTCAGTTTTCGGGCGAAAAATCAAGTTTCTCCAATCTTCTCAAAACTCTGGATTATGATAGAGGGCCGCGAGACTTTGACCTGAGCGCAAAAATGGAGGCTCTAGACCCTTCCAGAGCTGAGATATCGAAACTCAAAATTTCGACCCGAAAAAAAAACGACAGTGTTACCCCTTACGTTTTTTTCAGTTTTCGGGCGAAAAATCAAGTTTCTCCAATCTTCTCAAAACTCTGGATTATGATAGAGGGCCGCGAGACTTTGACCTGAGTGCAAAAATGGAGGCTCTAGACCCTTCCAGAGCTGAGATATCGAAACTCAAAATTTCGACCCGAAAAAAAAACGACAGTGTTACCCCTTACGTTTTTTTCAGTTTTCGGGCGAAAAATCAAGTTTCTCCAATCTTCTCAAAACTCTGGATTATGATAGAGGGCCGCGAGACTTTGACCTGAGCGCAAAAATGGAGGCTCTAGACCCTTCCAGAGCTGAGATATCGAAACTCAAAATTTCGACCCGAAAAAAAAACGACAGTGTTACCCCTTACGTTTTTTTCAGTTTTCGGGCGAAAAATCAAGTTTCTCCAATCTTCTCAAAACTCTGGATTATGATAGAGGGCCGCGAGACTTTGACCTGAGCGCAAAAATGGAGGCTCTAGACCCTTCCAGAGCTGAGATATCGAAACTCAAAATTTCGACCCGAAAAAAAAACGACAGTGTTACCCCTTACGTTTTTTTTTTTCGGGCGAAAAATCAAGTTTCTCCAATCTTCTCAAAACTCTGGATTATGATAGAGGGCCGCGAGACTTTGACCTGAGCGCAAAAATGGAGGCTCTAGACCCTTCCAGAGCTGAGATATCGAAACTCAAAATTTCGACCCGAAAAAAAAAACGACAGTGTTACCCCTTACGTTTTTTTCAGTTTTCGGGCGAAAAATCAAGTTTCTCCAATCTTCTCAAAACTCTGGATTATGATAGAGGGCCGCGAGACTTTGACCTGAGTGCAAAAATGGAGGCTCTAGACCCTTCCAGAGCTGAGATATCGAAACTCAAAATTTCGACCCGAAAAAAAAACGACAGTGTTACCCCTTACGTTTTTTTCAGTTTTCGGGCGAAAAATCAAGTTTCTCCAATCTTCTCAAAACTCTGGATTATGATAGAGGGCCGCGAGACTTTGACCTGAGCGCAAAAATGGAGGCTCTAGACCCTTCCAGAGCTGAGATATCGAAACTCAAAATTTCGACCCGAAAAAAAAAACGACAGTGTTACCCCTTACGTTTTTTTCAGTTTTCGGGCGAAAAATCAAGTTTCTCCAATCTTCTCAAAACTCTGGATTATGATAGAGGGCCGCGAGACTTTGACCTGAGCGCAAAAATGGAGGCTCTAGACCCTTCCAGAGCTGAGATATCGAAACTCAAAATTTCGACCCGAAAAAAAAACGACAGTGTTACCCCTTACGTTTTTTTCAGTTTTCGGGCGAAAAATCAAGTTTCTCCAATCTTCTCAAAACTCTGGATTATGATAGAGGGCCGCGAGACTTTGACCTGAGCGCAAAAATGGAGGCTCTAGACCCTTCCAGAGCTGAGATATCGAAACTCAAAATTTCGACCCGAAAAAAAAACGACAGTGTTACCCCTTA